CGCAACTGCATTAGCATTAGACCATACATATGTATGAGCACGATGGACACACCAAACATTTTCAGTTGCTAGGAAATTTTGAAATGTGCCCGGGTGGCGGCCGAAGCCTTCTCTTATCAATTTTAGACCACCAAGGGATCTTTAACGTGAGCAACTTGCACCCGGGACTTACGATATTTTGTACCCATGTCCTAGTAGGCTAGGTGTAGATCTTTCCTACCAGAAGATCAGGAGTGTGGCTGAAAGACAGCAGTAAGAAGGAGCCAAGGAGTAGCAGTAGAAAGGCTGCAGAAAGAGTCGGGGGCCCAGAGGAGAGGGCAAAGAGGGTGAGAGGTGGGGGCAGAAAGAGGAGATGAAAGCAGACGACAGAACATTGCCAGAGAGCAGGAAAAGAGATGAAAGGAGACAATTTTAGAGAAGAAAATTGTTCGCTCACTACTCGGATTCGAACCCGGAACCTTTAAATGAGAAGCTAACACCTTTAACCTCTAGGTCACGAGAACCTAGGACAATCCTTACTTTATACTTTTGTAAGTAAGTTTTCTGCTTTTATCACATTTATTGTGTATTGCACACAGGGATGTAAGGTCTATGCGATCGTGAGGCGAAAACCTAACTTATGAGTGGGTGTTTGGCGGATGCAGTGGTGTGGTCTGTACCTTCTTCTGTTTCAAACACCTATTGTCCTGATCTCTCCTCCTACTTCTTTTTTTTAAGTTTGTTTCTTTGTCCTGATCTGTCCTCCTTCTTTTTTTTAGGGGGGGGGGTTGTTGTTGTTTGTTTTTGTTTTTGTTTTTTTGTAGGGTTTTTTGTTGCTCTCTAGTAACAATTCTATTTTTCGACAATTATACTTATATTATGATCGCATTGTGTTGCAAGTGCCTTAAAACATTTACTAACCCTAAAAACTCTCTCATGAGTCGAATATAAGAGGGGAGGGCGTAATAAATAGAAAAGAGCACAATAACAGTAGGTGCAACACCTCTAACGGCGGAATAACACTCAGAGACATAATCTAGCAACGATATATATGCAAGCACGATTGTTATTTTGGCGAATTGTCTCCTCTGTCTTCTTTCTTCATTTCTTTATTTCTTTCCATCTGTCCCTCTTTTTCACTCTTATCTCTGAGCCAGGCTTTCAGCCGTCGAAATAAGCTGTGTGTCTTTCTTAAGAATTAAAATTAATAAAATGTCCACACGGTTGAAATAACGGTGTGTTCAGTATTAACGATACTAAAGGCGTCAGAATTGTATTAATAATAATAATAATGTCTCAGACAGAGGTGAAATAGTAACGGAAAAGCAATAGACCCAGTGAAGCAGAGTTAGAAAGGATTAGCACTAAATCTAATATTAACTTATTCCATTTGAAGGAGAGGCTAACGCATGACTACGTACACTACCCCAAACTAAGCTTACCTAATCTTACAAAAAAAAGTTTAGAACTAATAATCTTTAAAAAGTACAAGCAACAAAGTAGGCTAACAGATTACATACGTGTTATATTTACTATCCAGATGGTGTCGTTTTATTGCCTTGGTTCAAATTTGTTTTTAATTACGTAAATTAAACAAATAAGAAAGATCACTGTCAATAATGAATTAACTACTGTTTCTTCTCCTCTCCTCCCCAGCGCGCCGAATCAGATTGAGAGAAGAGAAAAAGAAGAAGTACTCAGGTGAGTAACAGTTCCTGTGTGTGTGAATACATTTATAAAGGACTTCCCTTTCGTTCATATGCATGCATGTTTTCCCTTCCAATCAAGTAGAATTATATTAATAATGGCCAAATATTGGTTTTCTTTTTAAACATGTGTCCACCTCTGAAAATACTCTCTGCTGTAAATGATACTTAAATCAGAAAGACTCTGTTTTCTGAGCAGCCCTTGGGTTTTTATGGAATGAAAGGTGCATGTGCCCGTTTCAGCATCGTACACTTTTCGAAGAGCTAATGACCTCCAAAACAAACATTCGTATCATATCCATGAAATTCAGTTAAAAGAATTCTTCGTACGGAACTTCAGTAACGATCACCTTTGACAAAATCCAGTATGAAACCACAAGAGCTAAAATCGAACCCACGAAATAATTGTTTTAAAACCCTGTGAATGCCCTTTCCTTTCGTCAATCTTTATTCCCCTCGTCCAAACCGCACAGAACGACCCCTCCTCCCGTGTGTTATTTTTTTCTCTTTCCTTTTATTTTTTTTTTTTTTTCAATTTCAGGTTTGGTTGGGGGGGGGGGGTTGGAGGGGAGCGATTCTTGTAGAATCCTATGTTTATAGTTCCCCCTGCTGCTCCTGGCTGTAGGTCTTGCTTTTTCCCTTCACCAAACTGCCGTTGTAGTGCCGATGTGCTTCTCTGTTCTCATCCGAAAGCAAATAGATCTAGATATATATATCTAATCTCTTCCCAAAGGCCTGTGCCGCTGCATGGCGTCCGGAGACCCTCACTACAAGACATTTGATGGCGCCATGATTCACTTCATGGGGACCTGCCACTACGTGTTGGCGCGCTCCCAGCCCGGCAGTGGGGGAGACAACTGCGACTTCGAGGTGACCGTGAAGAACGAGCGGAGGAACGGCAAGACGAGGGTGTCCTACACCAAGCGAGTCAACATCCGCATGTTTGGCATGGAGATCTCTCTGCTGAAGAAAAGGCGGTTGATGGTGAGTTGGGGGCGCACTTACCTTAACGGAAAGGAGGTGTTTTTTTTAGTTGTTGGTGGTTTTTGTTGTTGTTGCTTTTGTTTTGGGTTGGGTTTGTTGGGAGGGAGGGCTGGGGAGGGTATTTGAGTTTTTACTTTTCGTTTTGGGTTTTGGGGGGTTTTTCGGTTTTGTTTTTGTTTTTTTTGGGGGGGGGGGGGGGTGATGAGTGGTGAGTCAAGGGGAAGAGTTTGGGAGGGGGGGCAGGATGGGAAAAAATGTTTGGGGGGGAGCGGTGAGATTTATTCTTTTTCTGTTTATCTCTCCCTTTTTGTATCTTGTAATGTATTTTCGTTTCCATTTCATGGAAAAAGGGTGTGAGGGTGGGGGGGGGGAGGGTTGTTTTTTGTTCTGTTTTCGGGGGAGGGAGGGGTGGGGGGGGCTAGACACACTGACGTAAGGAAACTTGCTGATTTTCTGCGTTCATTTATCTGTATCTGCTTATCAATCATTACAATCGAACTGTCCGCCTCTCAGATCAACAAGATGAGACACTACACACCCCTCACTGTGGAAGGCCGGTTTGAGGTGGTGAAAAACTCACGCGCCATCACCTTCATCAGCAAGTGTGGAGTGGAGGTCACCTTCAGGGTGAGTCACTGCTGAAGTTAAGTCCGAAGTGTTCTTAAAATTAAGTGAATTGGTCATTTTCACGGTGAATAAGTTCTTGAAGTTAGATTAAAATATTATTATGGTCACTTACATGGTGACTAAGTGCTTAAAATTTGGTTAAATAGTCAGTTCCAATGTGAGTAAGTCCTTTAAAATGTTTAATTGTCAGTTGAGTCAGTACTTGAGTTTAGGATTCAGAGGTTACATTCAATGTGAGCAAGAGCCTAACACCAGGGTTATTGGAGTCAGCGTTTGATGTAAGCTTTTGATGATGCCACCTACAAGGTAAATGAGTACTGGACATTATGGATTTTAATTCACCTCAGCAAAAGTCAGTGCTGGGCCTGTAGTGTTTTAGTTCACCATCAGGGCGGGGCACCGCTGGGCGTTTATAATTTCAGTTCACTATCAGGGTATGTCGTTAGATTGGAACCCACAGGGTAAAAGATCAAGGGGAAGACCACGTGGAACCTGAAGAAGAGTCACGGAAATGGAAGTACAGAAAAGTGGGAAGACATGGAGTGACATCAAGCGACTAGCCAGGGATAGGGAAATGTGGAAAGCGTTTGTTCGTGGCCTATATCCTGATCCAGGTTGAGAAAGGCAATACTTATTGATCAGGGTTTGTCAGTGTTCAAGCTTATGGCAGAGGTCGATCACATTACGGGTGTGTTATGGCTTAAGGTTAAAGACAGTTCATCTGGGGTATCTATTTTGATGTTCGGAGTTAACTTATTTGTTCCTTCTCATTCTCTGGACACTTTAAAAACTGCGAGTGTAATCATAGATGTTTCACGCCCCCATCAACACAATTTACATCATTTAATAGACAGTCTGCTTTGAATTACCTGTCAGGAGACCGTCTGGGCAGAGAGTGATACAACATCTGAACAGAAAGACGAGGATATTCAATTAAAACATTTTCTCCACTCAGTAACTGAACGAAGCATTTAACTGCTGCACCACAAAGGCTGGTATGGACACTTAGACATCCAACAACTACCTGACACTGACACTTTCTACCGTTCCCCTTTCCCAGGACGACCACATGGTACAGGTGTCTGCTCCCAACAGTTTCGCTGGCAAAATGACTGGCATCTGCGGCACCTGCAACGGAAATGCCCGGGATGACTACAGGCTGGCAGACGGTACTGACGTCACCAAGGCCAACCAGAGAGACAGTCGTATTGGACAGAGTTACGTCGCCAATATGCTCAGACCTGACTTGCCTAAAAGGTGAAGGCTCATTCTGTTTTAGGTGTTTGTGTGTGTGCGTGTGTGTGTGCGTGTGTGTGTGTGTGTGTGTGTGTGTGTGTGTGTGTGTGTGTGTGTATGTCTGTGTCTATCTGTGTGTGTGTGTCTGTCTGTCTGTCTGTGTGTCTGTGGGTGTACTCTCTCTCTCTTTCTCTCTCTATCTCTCTCTCTCTCTCTCTCTCTCTCTCTCTCTCTCTCTCTCTCTCTCTCTCTCTCTCTCTCTCGTTTACATCCATATTCTCACTCACTATCACACTCACAGTAAACAAATTTTTCATAAGTGGCACCATAATACTCAAAGTAAATCTTGTTTTGGCTCTGAAAGACAGCTCCCCCCCCCCCCCCCAAATCTCTTCTATAACCACATCCCTACCCTTATCATTTTCATATGTCATATTCCATCCAGGTGCAAGAGCAAAGTCCTGCCCCCACCCCCCAAATGCTCCAAGGCTAACAGGAAGAAGGCAGAAGCGGCGTGTGGCATCATGGTCCAAAGGGGTGGACCCTTCGGGGCGTGTCTCAAAGCAAGGGGAGAGCAAGCCCGGGAACTCTACGACAGCTGTGTGCAGGACTTCTGTGCCTTCGTCGCCGATCCCAAAGAGGTATGTGGAGAATATGTTCTCGATGATGTTTCACGTCACTATCGACAAAAGTTATATCATAATTTAAGTCAGCAGATCTGACCTTGTCATGAGTGGTAGCTGCCTGCATTTCACGGACCCGTTAATTTTTTTTTTAATGTTGGGATGGATAAATTTACTTACGTGATTGAAAGCTAATCAAATATTGATTCAAACCAAGAGTATGGTAAACATGTTGTCTATTTAAACAACTATTGCGCCGGAGACCATAAACTGAACTGGGAGGTGCTGAATATACGTTGATGGAGATAGGTTTTTTTTTTCCTTTAACCAGGACAAGGACGTTGTGAATACCCTACACTGTGCTTAAAGTGTGCCATTTAGACAGAATGTAAATAAAAGCATATCAAAATGTACGAACAAACAATGACGACCGTAAAGAGATGATTTCAAAAAGTGCAAATTATAAACCAATCAGTGCAATGAACATGTATAGACTTAACACCCCTTGAAACACCAGGAAATCAAATCCAGCTCCAGCTGACCAACTGATCTACCTGACAAACTAACCATCTGTTATGTTTCCGTGTATGTCCAGTCTGGCGCCCTGCTGTGTGACGCACTGACCGCTTTGGCTGAGGAATGCTGGGAGAACGGCGTGGAGGTGTTGTGGAGGAGCGAGACCTTGTGTCGTGAGTACTGGGAGGGGGGCAGGGGATGGGGAGGAGGAGTTTATTTAGTTTCAGTATAGGTTTTTTCGGCGCTCTCAACTGCATAAGGTCATATGAGCGCCAAAAGATTAGAGGTGTTACAAGAGAGTAACAAACATAAAAAAGAAGGAGGGGAGATAAGGAAGATAGATGTTTGATAGGAAAGAAAAAGCAAACCACGCCCGAGCACCCGCCAACTACCCATTAGGGAGGAGGAAGAGGATGAGGGGGTTTAGAAAGAGAGAGAAAGATAAAGGAGAATACGACGACAATATGCGGTCAGGTGTCGTTACTATTGTCGTCGTCAGTGTTATTATTACTTTTGCTGGGGTTTTTTTGTTGGTCTTGATCTTGTTTTGGGGGCCGATTTGGAAGTCAGGGGTGGGGGAGGAGGAGGTGGTTAGAGAGGGGGCATTTTACACTGTGTCATCAGCTTATTGAGCAAAAGAGGGGGTGGGTGGGGGTTAGAAGATCAAGTGTGGCAAGTACATAATTTGTACTTGGAAAAAGGGAGGGGGGGGTGAGAGGGTTTGTGGAAGGGTAAGGGGAATAAGGTTAGAATTAGAGCGTGCGGTTTCATTTTTGATCTAAGAATTAATGTACCTGAACTGAGAGAGTTTGCTGGAAGTTCTTTAGATAACGACTCTTTTGCCAGCAGTCGAAGGACAACGTTTGCTAATGTCTGAAGTTACAGGGGGGTTTTTTCTCTCAGTTTAGATGTTAACGCCGTTCAAAATTTGTAAGAGGTAGCTATTATGTTTGGTTATGGTCACCCTTTCCAGTTTGTTGGATGTTTTTTGTTTTTGTTTTTTGTTATTTATTCATTGGTT